CCCCTGATTTTCTTTCTGTGGAAAAAGGTGCTGGGCAGAGGGCCGTGTTGCTCCAGCCTCCCTGTGAGTGGATGTGGCTGGAGGACACCGCTGTATCCCGTCCCTGGGATGTGCTGGGAGGTCTCAGTTTTGCCTCTCTGAGCCACCACTGACCTCTCTGAAGAGGTGGTGCCCCTAATTTGGGCACATCGGTAAGCTGACTGATAAAGTGGGGCTGGATACAGAAATGCATCATCACAAAGGCTGATTTTGCCATTGGGTAGGGAGGTAATAGTGGGTATTTGGCACCTTGTTATCAGCATCTGACACAGTGGCAAGCTTGGTGGCAAATGTAAGGACATGACAGAGGCTGTTGGACTGTGTCCTCCCCTCATGGTCCCTGCTATAACCAACCCTGCCAACTTTGTGTTAATAGAGTTGCAAACTCAAGTGGCTTGTGCTGTTGGGATGGATTTTCTACAAGGCAACACTACACAGACCACTGCAGCAGGGACACTTCTGGCCGAGAGTAGCAGAGAACCTGGTGTTTCTAAAATGTACCAAAAAGAAAAAGCTTACCCTTACCGAGCTACCTAACTGGAAAATGAGCTCATTTGACTCTCCAGCCATGACTCCTTGTGCTGAACTCCCCTTCTTGGAAGGAAAAGTGGTGAGAATTTGCCTATTATTGCTGAAAACAAGTAATTTAAGAAACAGCAAAGAACAATCAATCTACGATAGCTTTCTTTTAGTTAGAGCAAGTGAAACTAGAGACTGATTTTTAATAATTAAGGTATCCAATGAAAATTAATCAAAATTTTCAAGTTCCTATTTCCTGTGAGGAGGTGGATGACAGAAAAGCAATGTGGGTCTTGGTATTGCTGAAGGGAATTGCTGGATGCCTCTAATACTAAGACATCACTGGGTCTCTCAATACAAATTTAAAAGACTTGTCACAATAATGCCAAAAAGTTTGGTCATCATCCAAAAAAAACAGTGGGAGGCTTAGACAGATGGTATTTGATTGGTAAATCAGGTAAGAAATCAGGTAAGAAAGCATCATGTAAATAGAGAAATGAATCTTTATGTAGTGAAAAACTGTCTGACCCAGCAGTTATGTCATGTCTCAGCATTACTTATTTGTTTACTTAAGTATTTTTCAGTTGCCTTCAAGGAAGTTTAGGTGACTGAGAAATTACTTTGGGCTGATTCTCCTTGGCATGTGTGGTGGATTCATGGCCCTGGCAAGGATGCCCTGTGGTCGCTGTTGTCAGCTCCGTCAAGTCCTGGCTCCACAGGGAGCGAGCCGGACCCTGCCCAGGCAGCTAGTTTCTTAGGTGTAAATGCTAGTTATGGTCAAAAGCCTAATCTTTCCTCCTGCCTCTAAATTGCTCAAAATATGTTGTTATTCGGAGAATCACAGAATCAGAGAATGTTAGGGGTTGGAAGGGACCTCAAAAGATCATCTAGTACAACCCCTCTGCCAGAGCAGGACCACCTACAGTAGGTCACACAGGAATGCATCCAGGTGGGTTTTGAATGTCTCCAGAGAAGGAGACGCCACAACCTCTCTGGGCAGCCTGTTCCAGTGCTCTGTCACCCACACAGTGAAAAAGTTTTTCCTTCTGTTAACGCGGAACCTCCTATGCTCCAGCTTGCACCCGTTACCCCTTGTCCTATCATTGGCCATCACCGAGAAGAGCCTGGCTTCATCCTCCTGACACTTGCCCTTTACATATTTACAAACATTGATGAGGTCAGCCCTCAGTCTCCTCTTCTCCAAGCTAAAGAGACCCAGCTCCCTCAGCCTTTCATCAGAAGGGAGATGTTCCACCCCCTTAATCATCTTTGTGGCTCTGCGCTGGACTCTTTCAAGCAGTTCCCCATCCTTCTTGAACTGAGGGGCCCAGAACTGGACACAATATTCCAGATGGGGTCTCATCAGAGCATAACAGAGGCGGAGGAGAACCTCTCTTGACCCACTGACCACAGCCGTTCTAATACACCCCAGGGTGCCATTGGCCTTCTTGGCCACGAGGGCACCTTGCTGGCTCATGGTCATCCTGCTGTCCACCAGAACCCCCAGGTCCCTTCAGGGCCCATGGATTTATGTGTGTCCAGCTTGCTTAACTGATCCCTAACCCAATCCTCATCAACCAAGTCAAACTCCTCCTTTATCCTGACTTCCTCTGGGGCCTCAGGGGTCTGGCGGTCTGGCGTCTAATTGCTTTTTAAGTTCTCGCTGTGGTTTGGGAAAAGGAAGATTAACCAGTATTCCTCCTGTGAGGATGCAAATTCACCTCTTGTCATATTAAGGTGCTATATTTAGTTGTCTTAAGAAACAAGACATAAGAGAAAGTGTTCTCATGTGCTCATTTCACATTTCACATACTATTTTACTCCCAGTGAGAATAAACCTCACTTAGGTTTCTATCCCTAGTGACAATGTCTAAGTGAGATTTGAGTACCACCTCTTTCTTCTTAATATTCACTGCATAGGCCACAGATAAGAGCTCTTCCTTATCTGTATTTGTTCACATGCACACTGCAGGAATTTCGGAGGTGAAAGAGTTTTTTTCAGACCTGCCCAGCTGAAAGTTAAAGGGCAGCTCTCCAGAGCACCCAGTAGCCAACTGGTAAGAATAGCTGTCTAGAAAAAGCAAGCCTAGACTAACCAGCTGAGCCTCCGCTGTATATATACTGGGAATATTTCACCAGGCTTTCAAAAAAGTCAGGACAAAGTCCTCGTGTTGAATAAATATTTCCTTACTGAACTATTCAAAGTATTTTATATCTTTAAATGTGAAAGACTAAACTAAATGTAATTTGAAGAATACAGACATTTGTTTATTATTATAATATTTATCAGCTAGGAAATTAAATTCATCAGTTCATGTTCATTTCTATCTGGTTACACTTTCAGATTTTCTTTTGTCAGCACAGTGTTTTAGGATTTGTGTATCACTGTCTTAGAGAAATTATTAAACTCAGTCAAACCCTGAAAAAACTATTTGCCTCAATATTATGTTCTGTAACTCATTTGATCAAAGTTAATTCCAAAATCTGATATCGTACTATATTTTTTAAATTCATCCCATACAGCATCATTGACTGCATGCGAAACAAAAAACATAAATTAAAAAAAAAATCAGTCAGCAGTTTGTCAGTTGATTCTAGGACTGCAAAACTGACCTGGTATGAAATGGCCATATTTAGAGAATCTCTGTACAGCTGGGAGTTTGCTACATGCAAGGTAGCTGTCGTGCTTGCCAAAATATCTTCATTATAATTGCACTTACTGATACAAATATTATTAATTTTTGGCATCAGAAAACCCAAAAGCCTCCATGGAAAAATGTTTGGCAGCACATGCCAGCATGGTAGCATGGCTTGGCTATAGCACCGGCCTTCCAGGCACTAGAAATCACCTGGCCATACCCCACAGAAAGCAGCAAACACCGAGTATTCACCAGACCTCAGAACCGTTGAAATAAGCATACATGTCGAAGACGAAGGGTTACAATTAAAGGGATAAGAAAGCCTAAAACCCCAAAATATTGTCAGAACCCAGCATTTAGCATTATGGCACAGACACCATGGACTGGCGTGCCAGCAGCTGGCTTAGCTCCCCTGCCCTCTGCTCAACCAGGTTATGAAGTAATGATGTTGTGCAAACAATTTCTGCAGGTAGCCAAATACATGACATTATCTCTATGTAAGTAAGCAAGAACAAGGCTGGAGAGTTTTGTAGAAATACTTATCACTGACTGATCTCTTATACCTTGAAGATGCATTTCTAGAAAGGAAAAAAAATAGAATTGTTCTTCTCATTGTATCTTTAAAAAAACCGAAAAGTGCAATTTTACTAGGCTTTCTCAAACCTCAGAGAAACTTTTCCAAATGCCTTTTATAGGTGAAGGATTAAATAAATGTTTTGTTGAAGTAATGGAACAGTTATTGGACTTCATGACACATGCACGTTTTTAAATAAAAAAGAAAATATTGTGGGTTTTTTTTAATTTGGTTAAAAAATTCCATAGCTAGAAACACATCATTAGCAGTTCATACTTACATCAGTTTTGTATCAGAGAAAAATAAAGTTTTGTTTGTGTAACATTGTTAGGCAAAATAGTAACTATACAAATTTAAGAAAGAAAAGAAATTATTTATGCCAAGTTAGTGGAAATTAGCATTATGAATGACAATTTAAGGAGGATTATATGATGTATTGCAGGTTTCAACCAACTAAAAATAGAAAAGCTATACAAGCCATAAAAATTGCACAGTCTACAACTTTCAGTTCCAGGAAGATTGTGTTTGCAATACTTGACTACAAATGGAGTTGCTTTCTGACTGTTGAGATAGATCTTCTGAGACCATAATTAATACAGACAATCCCGAGCTTTCCAAATGAGTCAGACATTTAAAAATACGATACAATATTGGGCTTAAAGTTGTGAAAGTTTTAGAAAATCACTTATTGATTGCCCTCTATTTTTTGAGCTCGGTTCACAATTTCAAAGTATGTTCCAGCACTGTGAGACATTTTAAAACTGGAAATAAAGATGACTGTACAACCAATGTGTTACCAGCAATGGGGCTTTCAAAAGACAGGCAAAATCCCAGATGAATATTGTGAAACACTCAGTATGGTCATAAAAGTCAATGCTGTCTGCTGAAGAGTTCCTTGTTACGCTAACTCATTAACTCAGGATGCTTATTATCAATTCATTATGCTAAAAATTTTCAAGGAAAATAATGTACATTCACGATGTCCTTGGTAATCCTCAACAGTCCCCGGGGGCTTTGACAGCTCTGTAATTCAGATGAGGCTCTGAAAGACCAGCAATGACATAAGTCATTTTGGTCACCTCCTGGAGCTGACATCTGCAGGAAGCTCAAGTGTTGCTTTCCAGCCATGCTATTGCAACAGCATCTCCTGAATGTTATTAATTCAGGAGCGCAGCTCCACCTGGAAGCTCCTGTGTGTCAGCCAGACAGCCCATGGTGTGGAGTAATACCTGTGTCGAGGGATGCTTCCAGAGCAGGGGCTTCGCTAGAATCTAGGTCCAGAGTGGGGAGGAGGGATTCGAGGATGGAGGTGTCCCTGTGCCATCGCTCTGCTGCTCCCACCTGAGGCTGACTGGGGTCCCTGCTGCCTCCTAGAGAAAAGATAAGGCTCAGGGGCTGCATGCGAGGACAAAGAGAGAAGCAGTATGTTCTGCTCGCTCTGCCTGCCAGCCAGCAGGCCAGCTAGAAAACACAGACTTCCAGCGGCTTGAAAATACTCATATTTTTTAATTTAGACATTCTCATTGACTTTATCCACGTGTCTCCAAAGCCACGACAGAGCACAGAGACCTGAAGAATCCAGAATACACTAGGGGACGTATTGGCAGGTATGATACAGTATACCAACCCTGGTGGTAAAACATCGCACTCCTGCTGCCTCCTAAGCATTGGTACCACAAGTTGCAGCTTTCTGCTTTAATTTAGCAATCAACGCCAAGCAACCCCCTCCATCCAAAAAAAAAAAAAAAAAAGTAGCCATAACAAGGGAAGGAAAAAGCTGGTAGGTAATGTGCTGAGTTCCTCATTGAGGAGACTAGTTCTGCAGAATACATGCAATGCAATGCAATGACAAAATGACAGCAGAGCAGTAACATGTCCAACTTGGCCCATCTATTGGTCACATGGCATGCAGTCTGCAGACTTCTAGCTGCTCATTGAGAATGCATGACTCGCTTGGCTGGGCAATCTGTGGCACAGCAAGAGCTGCAGACAGTTTCTTTCACAGCCCACAAAGCAAACAAAGGAAGGCTGGGGACCCGGTGACAAATCCAAATACCATGGAGGCATAGCAGACATGGAGGGAACTGGAAGCATTGCTACTGGAAAGCTGGGAATGTTGCAGGGCATATGGGGAACAAAGCCATAACACTGGAGGGAGGCAAGGGCTCATGTTGATAAAAGCTCATTCATGCATTTGATAAGTTTGCATAAACAAACAGAATTTGAATCCACCTTGTGGATTCCCTGAATTCTGCCCCGACTTTCTCAACTGCGCATCATGGTTATGGTATAAGCAAAGTTTAGTAGATCAAACCCGCTTCAGAGACAGCTGGCATTGAAAGACCAGAGCCAATGCATCTGAGCAGTGATGCAGGCTCAGTGGAAGGACTGGTGGTGCCAGAGAGATTGAGGGCTGTAAGACCATGGAAGTCTTTCCTTTGGCAAAACATTTGGTCAAGGAGAACATGGTGCTCTGGAAAGCTGTGATCTTTTTAAAGAAAACAGTAACAATTTTGTTCAGCTCTACATACTGGCTGTTATTTATATAATTTATATAGTTCTCCTAATAACAATGTAGTCACACTAGGGACATTACTATTTAAGGAATAAAGCAGGACTACTATGGTGCCTAAGTAAATAGAAGTTGGAGCAGTGTATGGCACATTTCCCCATTATTTCTTAACAAACTGTATGCGAATTCTTGCAAAATACTAAATACCAACTTGGTATTTGTAGATTTTTTTTGTTCTTGTTCTGCATTGAGAGAACAAGATTTACTGGATTATGAACAACACATAATGAAATCTTAACCAGTGGTAATCACAGTTAAATTGGTGCAAACACATTAAGTAAAACTTGGCTTTACAGGAAAAAAAAAAAACCCACCATATTATTTTATTGACAAATACTTTATTTTTTTTTTTTAAATTTGTGTAGGAAATTTCAGTCTTGAACAGCTAGTTCTAGGAGAAAATTGAGCCATTATCCATCTATTTATTTATTTATTAATCTTAGAAAGCATTTCCTGCAAGTGCAAGAATTCAGGCATTGACACTGTTATACCCACAAGCTCTGAATCACATCTGGCATGACAGTTTACAAGAAGCAAAGTAGAGGTAATTTGTATGAGGCACATGGGATTTACAGAAGTTAATTCTCAGCCCTACAAAAAGTTTATCTTTCAAAAATGTCGGTAAGAGTTTTCTTATTAATTTGAACAGAGGAATTATCAAGACTATTTTCTTTGAAAGTTAATATGCAACTATCTAAAGTTAATAAAAGAAAGTGAGCCATGTTTTCACAACGAAAGGCTTCATTTTCAGTGCAATTCACAAAGTATAAGAAACAAAGAATAGTTTTCTGTCAATCAGCTCATACTAATTAGAAGATTACAAAAAGGGTGGACCAAGGCTTAATGGGTCAAATTCAGACGTCATTCATCTTGACTTTTCTGAATTTAAAGAATGTATTTTCACCACTTAAATTAAAATTAAAAACCTATGTACTGAATGAAAAAAAAAGTGTTGCTGTCCATGATTTGCAGAAATCTTGTTCACAGGAAACACGGTTTAAATATAGGCCCTTAAGAGTAATTTCCCTCTGTTATACATTGTTTTAAAGTCATCTTACAAGTGTAGTAACTACACTTAAATCTTCTCAAGAGAAGACATCCTGGAACGCAGTTAGAACTTGAGTAATTTAGATCCCCTGATGTTTTATCAGGCAGCGGGATAAGATAGATGTTTTACACTACTCTGGAAAACCTTTTCCTTCATTAAACTTTAAAATATCTTGAGCTAATATTTATGCCTATACATGTCTTATTCTACAGTTTAACTAAGTGACGCCACAGTAAATATGGTGAGCAAAAGAAACAGTCAGGATAAATATCACTGTATTTAATTAAATACTCTCCATTATACAAGGTGTTGTACTGAAAAGCCCATGGGATTTTGCCACTGACTTGAATAAAGCTGGTATTTCACTCACTAGCATCACACAGGTACATCAAAAACGCTCCTAATCACCCATTAGGCTAATGAAAGAAGCAGCTTTGCTTGCAGACTTTGCCCTACTAGCATCTTTAACCTAACAGGGCTACAATAACATCACAGCCCTTTGCACAGCGGGATGCCTCTTAGGCTGTTTTTTCCATGCCAGTTGTTGAAAGTTTTAATCACAATGCATTAAATAGAACCATTTTTGTTTGTTAGTCTCAGTGCAGTAATATGAATCTATTGATTCTCTGTAGATTTGTTTTAGAGAAAGCCTCTCGGCTTTCCTCATTCACACACACATGCCCCCTTTCCCTCAAAAGCACCATGGATCAGAGAACCAAACTTAGGAGAAAGTAAGCTGAAGTTTTCTTTGGCAGGTTGGCCAAAAAACAGCTCTGATGACAGTCCCCATCTTCCCATTGAGCTACAAGCTACAGTTCCCAGGACCCTCAAAGGAACAGCCAGGGAAAGCAAAGAGCTTTTGAAACTGCTTTTCACTCCCTTGCAGCTCCAAGCCCCAGCTGTCACACTGGGGATGGTAAAATGAAAGGCAAGTCCTTCTGGACAGACAGTCTGGTGGGGCACTGCGAAGGTCTGGCTATGCACAGCTAGTCAGAATAGGACACAACCTGAAGCTGATTTTGGCAAGCACTCTACGCCCCACCAGCATTCCTGGAGATGGCTTCAGTATGTACGAAGGGGCACCTACTTCCCACGACCCACAGGCCACCATGGGGGCAGGCAGTGTGTGACAGCTTCCACTATCAAATCAACTACCTAATGACGACTATTATTGTCAGAAATGTTTGTTAGAACTACAGTTCCATTTAATTCTTTGTCAGGGCCCTGAGGGCCCAGGACTCCATGTCAGCCCTCTGGGGCCATCAGCCCCTGCCCCAGCATCACTGCAGCAGGGCCAGTCTCCAGCTCCCCACAGCCCTGCCCTGCTTGGCCATGGGCCCCACCGAGCTGGGCCCACTCGTGGGCCCACAGCCCATCCTGGCCTCGGCCCATCCCCAGGGAAATGCCTAATGCCCAGGGCTGGGGCTGCCCCCAGCCCACTAGTCCCCATGGGGAGTCCCTCTGCTCCCAGGCCTCAGGGAGCAGCCACACATGCAATGCCCTGACATGTATTTCCTTAATTGTGTACTTAATTGCTTGTAATCATGTTTGGGATGCCCCTTTGCTCTTGCTTAAGAAATTGTTAGTATTTTAAAAGCTTTTAATTTTCATTGATCTTTGTATGTGCATGTACCTGCTTAAATTTGTGCTTCTCTTTTCCTACAGCGTATTAGAATCATAGAATCACAGAATAATTTGGGTTGGAAGGTCCCTTTAGAGGCCATCCAGTCCAACCCCCTGCAGTGAGCAGGGACACCTTTAGCTGGATCAGGCTGCTCAGAGCCCCGTCCAACCTGACCTGGAATGTTCCCAGGGATGGGGCTTCTACCACCTCTCTGGGCAGCCTGTGCCAGGGTTTCACCACCCTTACTGTAGAAAACATCTTCCTTGTATCTAGCCTAAATCAAACGCCTTTTGGTTTAAAACCATTACTCCTTGTCCTATCACAACAGGCCGTGCTAAAAAGTCCCTCCCCACCTTTCCTGTAGCCCACTTTAAGTACTGGAAGGCTGCTATAAGGTCTCCCCAGAGCCTTCTCTTCTTCAGGCTGAACAGCCCCAACTCTCTCAGCCTGTCCTCATAGAAGTGCTCCAGCCCCTTGATCATTTTTGTGACCCTTCTCTGGACTTACTCCAACAGGTCCATGATTTCTATTAAATGTTTTCTATTACAAAAGCTCTTTTTTCCTTATGCTACAGGACAGAGAAAAGCTAAGAAAAAAAAAAATCAGTGTGTTTATTCCTGAGAAAAGAAGGACTGTAGAAAAACAAATGCCCCCCACCCCCAACCTGACAATGTCGCTCCTCCGCACTAACAGAGGCATTCCACATTCCAGTGATCGTGGCCCCAAGCGCTGGGATGGCAGGCTCAGCACGACTAGGAAAATGTTTCTGTATGAAGCTCTCTTTGAAATTTGATTAAACTATTGACTCAGTAAGGATTAAAAGTAAAATGGCCAAAAAAAGATTGCTGTCACAGTCCTAACAGCTGGAGTTTTCCAAGAGGTTATGGCACAAGAGACCAGGGGATACTGGATTTGACCAAATATCCTTTTCTTGGTAGTTCTGGGAGGTGGTGGGATCAGTTGTCCCCACATTCTCCTCTGCTTTCCGGTGGCTCACAATGACAGCAGCACTCTGCAGAATTAACTCCAGGGAACCAACTCCCTGAACTCTGCCATTGAAATTTCTTAAAGACAAAGTGTGAATGCACTTGTGACTTCTCCTGGAAAGATTCATAGGCATTTTGTG